CTGCTTCATTTTCCTACGGCTAATGGAGGCCACAACGACCAGACAGCGTGTAGAGGGGATGCTGGATATAAACACACCTCATATAAGCACAGCTCCAACATTAGTGGCACATGCTTTCATTGTACTGGTGGGGAGGAAGGGCAAAGAGAAAATTCTGATACAAGCACACTACTTTGGATATAAGCACAGCTGGCCTTGCTGCCACGGGAATGTGTGCTTACATGCAGCTCCGCTGTTATTTAAATATGCATTCTTCTCCTCTTTCTCTTTTTTCGTGGGTTTTTTTTCTCATCGAAACAACATCCATCTATAATTCACGACGTGAATATATGGGGAGCGCACCCATTCAGACACGTTTCATTCATCTTCCGCTAATGCCACGAAAACCACGCAGCGCACACACCACGCACTATCTCAAGCGTCCCCCAAACATTCCTGTGCTGCCTGGGGCATGACCACTATGCGAGATGTGTCGTGCTTCCTCACAGCTGCGGCAGAGGTTGGTAATGCTGAATCATAGCCCGTGCCACTTGGGCATAGTTTCTTTTTCAAACCGACACAAATAATATAGCACTTTCGCTGTCACCTATAAGTCACATGCTCTCGCCGTTTCTTCGCATCGATTTTCACCTGCCAAGATATTTTACTACCATGCCCCCCCCCCCTTTTTTTTAGAATCTTATAACGGCATCCTATTAAGCCATGCATTAGAATCTTATGAGGAACAGAAATCCAATGCTTCGAGATTAAACTATAGACAGTGACGTTTGAACTGAAGGACTCCTACTCCCCCCTGCAGATACAGAGATGCGTTCGCATGGAACGATCTCCCAGACATGCTGAAATGTGACGCCAGTCGCTGGGTGCCGCGGTGGCGAGATGTTAACTCCCTCGCCTCGTGCACAGGAGGTCGCGGGTTCGATCCCAACCCTGACGCCTGCTGTATATTTGGAGTTTTGTGTGTCTCTCTCTCTCCGTGGTCGTGTGGATTTTTATCCGGGTCCTCCGGTTTTCCCCTCCACATTTAGAAACGTGCGTTTAAAGTATTTGGCTGCTTTGAATTTCCACTCGATAAGCCACTTCATTGAGCTGTCATTTGTGGCCAGGTCCCTTCTGAAAAACAGTTGCATAGTTCAGTGTGCCTGACCTGGTAAAACAAAAATAGTTTTTAGTTTACATGTAAATCCTTAATTGGAAAACACTCACAACCACATTAGCAAACTGTTTCGGCTCGAGCAGATTCTACATGAACTGGCAGTGTGCACCACTTATCTCTGTGTGTGACCGCGATGTGATGCTCACGCGTGTGACCGCGGTGTGACAATCACGCGTACGACTGCGATGTGATGCTCATTCATGCTGCCCTGGATGTCTTCGTTCCTGTTCTGGCCCCTGTATAAATGTCTGTGGCGTTGTATAAACGTATCCTGTGCAAGTTGTTCAAATGTTTGTAGATGTGCCATTGCGTGTTGGCCGTGTATGTGTCACTTGCCACCCTGGACACCCGTGCAAATGGGATGTGCAGTCTCAAGGACTTATCTACGTGAAATATTTTAATTTTAAAAATATCTAAAATAAGGCTTGGTTGTAAAAATATATATTTTCATATGCCTTTTAAACTGTTGCAGGATATCTTTGTTCGGTGTTAATTCTCGTCTTGTGCACTGCCAATCTGTAGGACATTAAAAGCACCTGTCACTTACCAGTATTAAATACTGATAAATGGCCGCATTAGCATTAAATTAATCTGGAATATGGCTTTTGTAAGGGCGATAACATATTTTACAAAGTTAAACTTTTTAATCCGTGGAAATTACTAAAAAAAAATGTGAATTTGAAATCTGCGTTTGTGTGGTTTCCGCTGCATGCGTTCATCTTGAAAAAGCTTCTTAGCCCGTGACCATTTGCCTCGAGCAGTGACCATTTAAGAGCTACTTGTACCAGTTACGTTTCTTTGCTGTGGCCGAGATGATTGTGTGTGCGTGTGCACAAAGGTTGTGTTAATGCAGCTGCACGGAGGTGGCCGGGTGTCTTTCTGGGAGGCTTATACCGCACGTGGGGGATGCCCGAGAACTTTACAGGCCCCATGTACGAGTTTCAATCGCTGGGATTCACGGGCTCGGCCTGTGTTTGCATACCGAGTCCACGCTGCCTGCTGCGTTCCCATGGCCATTAGGAAACTGATCCGAGTCATGCCGAGCCATTCCTGGTGCAGCCCCGCACGCTCCGTTTTCATCTGCTGGTGTTTACTGACTGCGGTGCTTCGTGGGCTCAGCCCCTTCCGCTCCATCCGCCCTCTCCCAAATCTTGACGGCCCTGCCTCCCCCACTCCCCGGCCAGAGGGAAGCGATTGTTAGCATTCATATTTCGACGCCTTCTTGTAATGCGTGACACTCTGGTCAGCTTGTTCTAAAACACTGCCCAGTAGGTTACTTAGTTGAGAGACGCCATTGCCCATCCAGCTCGTCTACGGTGACCCAGTGATGCCGTGCGTGTGGCTGCTCCCATTAATTGGCTGAGCTGAAGCCAGAGAGCTCCCTTCACAATGCAAACGGCTGCCCGGCTTGATGAAGGATTTGACCACTTGCCGGGCCTCTTGAGCACCTTCCATTACACCACATGCCATCTCGACCGTTGCCAATTGCCCCGCTGCAGTCTAGCCGGAGAGCACCTACAGTGGCAGCTGCCCTCGGCGCAGCACGTGATGTGCGCAAACGCCGGCTTGCAAAATGGCCAATGAGTGCTGGTTGGAGTGGGGGCCACCTTTCAAATGTGGCGCTTCGCAAATTATGCAGTTTGCGAATAGTTTATTAATGTTGTTACATGGCTCGTGGGAATCTGGGGGGAATTTACGTACCAGGAGAGGAAACCGGGCCGACCTACTTTTCAGTGGTCATGGAACAAACTGCGTGAGTCGCTTTCTGGTTTTTATACAGCCACACACTGCTCGGTAAGGAAGAAATTAACACAGGCAGTGGCCTATGCGGCAGTGTATAAAGTTATTTCATTGGGGCATGTTTTTCCCCAAATGTCCAAATATCGTTCATTCGTGATAAGGAGTGTCCATTGGGAAGACTTACAAAGCAGTGCATCCCATGATGGTGAGAGAACAGCATATGGAAGTGGATAGCACAGAGCTACCTCCTGAGATCCATGCAAGTGACCTTGGTCCACACTGCAGCATGCTGTACTTTCCCAACCTGTCCTGCCACACAATGTTCAAGCAGATATTTGTCGTCTTAGAGCTGGAATGGATGCGAGTCTGCGCGCATGTGTGTGTGCGTGTGTGTGGTCGTTGGCGACGGGGCTGAGACCGTTATGGAACAACTTTGTTTCCTCCCTTAGCATCGTAAATCTTCATTCAAAAAGATACCCCCATGAAGTACGGGATTAGTGCTGGACAACATGTCACGTTTGCAAATGTGACGTATAACTTTGATCCTTACCTGTGCCGCGATAGTTCAATGTTAATGCGCCATTTTATTGCGAAACTACTGCTGCTGTGCGGTGTTACCTTGGTGTGGTCCCCTGGACTGTTTTCTTGTTGATTTTTTCTGCCAATCTTGATTAAATCGGACTTATACACAATTAATGTGTTTAGTATTAGTTTCTATTTAGTGACTTGCTTTTCATTTTCTCTATTTTACACTCCCATAGTGTTTTTTGTTTGTTTGCGTTTGCTGTTGTAACTTGCTGACCCACGCATACTGGACACCCGTGAAACAAGAGCTTCATAGCTCTTTGGATTCCTCCTCCCGCTGCCTCAATAAAGATTTTAATTCCAAACGTGAACTCATTGCATCTGAGGACCCGGTTTAATCTCGCGCGGCTTCCTGGATTCGAACCCAGGATCTCTCAGCGGTACGGGCTCAGCACTCTGACCTCTGAGCCACCCAGCCACCTCAGGGCCATACAGTTTTACAGTGCGGCCAAATTGAGATTATTTCATCCAACAACACAATTACAGAGGGGTTTTTGTTATCTTTCTAAATTCTCATTCCAGAGCTGTTCTCTTACCAAAATGTTATTGCTGTTCAGTCAGCAGGGGGGCATTCTGATAATGTAATGGAGCAATGCACTGAATTTGACCCCAGCAGTGCAATTGCAAAAGAGAAATACGCAAGAAAATCTTTCGAACGTGGAAGGGTATTGTGTGGAAGCCTCTTTTTTTGGATCAAAACTCAGGCGAGGTCGTGTAGTCCACTTCTTCCATGGGGGTCCGCCAGAGATTGGTATAACCCTCCCGCCGTAATGAGAAAATGATGAACCCAGTGGGCTGCCTTTGTGCTGCTCCTCAAGTGTGCAATTACAACGCTGGGATTTCGGATAAGTGTTTATGAGATTAGACCAAAGTGACAAGGCCTGTCTCAAACTGCTCTCGGCTTATCTGTACAGGAAATATACATGCAATGTGTTCTGTGGATGTAAATACACATGCACCTGACCATGGTGAAATCCGACTGCTCTGTTACGTGTTAGAGCAGCGGAAAGGGTGCAACCCTGCGATTGATGCCACTCGCCACTACTGATGGAAGGGTCATCCACGAGAGGGAGCTATAGAGAGCCCAACTAAATGTTCTTTGGTTTTTTCGGTGAAGTGACTTTACCGACAAAACCAAAGAGCAATTCCTGCAGTCACGAAAGCACCAAATCAAGTTTCAACTAAATGTTTTTTTTGGCCTACTCTTTCATGCAGCCCAGGCCTCTTTAAAGAGGTGAGATTACCCTTAACTTTATGATGCACATGCTGATGATGCTGTGATATGTCTCCACAGCAGAGCCATTGTCTGGATGTGTTCTACACGATGATGACTGATGATGATAATCGTGGTGATGATGATGATGATAATGGTGACGGCGATGACCATGGTGATGATGAGCATGATGAGGATTATGTCCACCATGATAATGATAACTACCATGATGTTGACCATGATGATGATGATGACCGTGATGATGATGACGACCCTGGTGATGGTGGCGGTGTCTTCCTTCGGTAGACCCAGCGTTTGGAGCTGTTCTACAAGCTGCGGCACGTGATGCACGAGCTGCTGGACCTGCGGCGACAGATCATCTCAGGACATCTCACTCTGGACCAGGTGCGCGAAGTCAAGCGCCTCATCACGGTGCGCCTCGACTGGGGAAACGAGTGAGTGGAACTTCCATATTATAGGAAACACACACCGTCGCCATCATGCTTGTTATCGTCGTCATCGTTATCATCATTTTAACACGTAGGCTTTCGCGAGTATGTTATCATCATTGTTAAACTTAAAACGACGCAATTTTTATTTTATTTTACCAGGTGAAGCCCACTGAGCTCCATAGCCCAATAAAGTGGCTTATCACGTGGACATGTATCGCGGCCAGACTCTCTAAATGCACGTTGTTTCTAAATGTGGAGGGGAAAACCAGAGGACCCGTAGAAAAATCCACGCGACCACGGGGAGAACATGCAAACTCCAAAAAATACAGGCGTCGGAGTCAGTATCGAATGCGACGTCCTGTATACCAGGCGAGGGAGTTAACATCCCGCCATTGCGGTGCTCCACCATCATTAGCTGCAGCTTCATCATTATCGTCATCATCATCATTATTATCATACAGTGAGGGAAAAAACGTATTTGATCCCCTGCTGATTTTGTACGTTTGCCCACTGACAAAGAAATGATCAGTTTATAATTTTAATGGTAGGTTTATTTGAACAGTGAGAGACAGAATAACAACAACAAAAAAATCCAGAAAAACGCATGTCAAAAGTGTTATAAATTGATTTGCATTTTAATGAAGGAAATAAGTATTTGACCCCTCTGCACAACATGACTTAGTACTTGGTGGCAAAACCCTTGTTGGCAATCACAGAGGTCAGACGTTTCTTGTAGTTGGCCACCAGGTTTGCACACATCTTAGGAGGGATTTTGTCCCACTCCTCTTTGCAGATCTTCTCCAAGTCATTAAGGTTTCGAGGCTGACGTTTGGCAACTCGAACCTTCAGCTCCCTCCACAGATTTTCTGTAGGATTAAGGTCTGGAGACTGGCTAGGCCACTCCAGGATCTTAAGGTGCTTCTTCTTGAGCCACTCCTTTGTTGCATTCGCCGTGTGTTTTGGGTCATTGTCATGCTGGAATACCCATCCACGACCCATTTTCAATGCCCTGGCTGAGGGAAGGAGGTTCTCACCCAAGATTTGACGGTACATGGCCCCGTCCATCGTCCCTTTGATGCAGTGAAGTTGTCCTGTCCCCTTAGCAGAAAGACACCCCCAAAGCATAATGTTTCCACCTCCATATTTGACGGTGGGGATGGTGTTCTTGGGGTCATAGGCAGCATTCCTCGTCCTCCAAACACGGCGAGTTGAGTTGATACCAAAGAGCTCCAATTTGGTCTCATCTGACCACAACACTTTCACCCAGTTGTCCTCTGAATCATTCGGATGTACATTGGCAAACTTCAGACGGGCATGTATATGTGCTTTCTTGAGCAGGGGGACCTTGCGGGCGCTGCAGGATTCCAGTCCTTCATGGCGTGGTGTGTTACCAATTGTTTTCTTGGTGACTATGGTCCCAGCTGCCTTGAGATCATTGGCAAGATCCTCCCGTGTAGTTCTGGGCTGATTCCTCACAGTTCTCATGATCATTGCAACTCCACGAGGTGAGATCTTGCATGGAGCCCCAGGCCGAGGGAGATTCACAGTTATTTTGTGTTTCTTCCATTTGCGAATAATCGCACCAACTGTTGTCACCTTCTCACCAAGCTGCTTGGCAATGGTCATGTAGCCCATTCCAGCCTTGTGTATGTCTACAATCTTGTCCCTGACATCCTTGGAGAGCTCTTTGGTCTTGGCCATGGTAGAGAGTTTGGAATCTGATTGATTGCTTCTGTGGACAGGTGCCTTTTATATAGGTAACAAGCTGAGATTAGGAGCACTCCCTTTAATAGTGTGCTCCTAATCTCAGCTCGTTATCTGTATAAAAGACACCTGGGAACCAGAAATCTTTCTGATTGAGAGGGGGTCAAATACTTATTTCCCTCATTAAAATGCGAATCAATTTATAAAAATTTTGACATGCGTTTTTCGGAATTTTGTTGTTGTTATTCTGTCTCTCACTGTTCAAATAAACCTACCATTAAAATGATAGACTGATCATTTCTTTGTTAGTGGGCAAACGTACAAAATCAGCAGGGGATCAAATACTTTTTTCCCTCACTGTACTTATCATTGGCAGCAGCATCATCTAAAGCATCATCATTTGTTTTTTGTCACTATCTTTGTAGCGGCAGCATCACCGCTGTCATGATCATTATCAACATTGTCATCGTTGTTTTCGCCATCGTTTTAATCACCATGGTAGCAGCATCGTCATCATCTTCATCATTAACATACTCAGAGGAGCTAATTCATTTTTTTCATTGGACCATTGACCTGAACGTTAATTACTTAAGACTCTGCATTACGTGTGTAGCAATTATCATTAAGCACCTTCCGCGATATACTTCCTGGAGTATTTTGGGATAAAAATGTTGATTGAATTTGCCGTGGGTCGCTAAATTCTATATTCGCCTGAGCGAAAATCACCGCCGTAATATTTATGGCCATCATCATTTAGCTCCCATTAGCATCGCCAAAAATGTAATAAATAACACGCCCCAAACACACCATCCTTGTAATGTGGCACTTAATCTCAATGGCAACGAGTAGTGACCGGCAGATGTTGGGAATTTGCATACGCACGTGGCAATTACACTGAATTATAATCCGCCAACGGTCTGTTTCATGTACCTTACCACTCAACGAAACATTTTTTTTTATTTTACCAGGTAAGTACCCCCAGGGCAATATCTGAGCTATGTAGCTCTTTTTCAGAAGCAACCTGATCACAAATGATAGCCCAACGAAGTGGCTTATCGTTTGGAAATGTATAGCAGCCAAATACTCTGAACGAATTATCTAAATATGGAGGGGAAAACAGTAGGTCCTGGAGAAAAATCCACGTGACCACGGGGAGAGAGACGTGCAAACTCCAAATAGACAGCAGGCGTCAGGGTCGGGATCGAACCCACGACCTCCTGTATACCAGGCAGGGTAGTTAACATCTTGCCACTGTGGTGCCCACTGAACTGTGTCCCTCTTTGAACAATGTTCTCGCTTTGCCTCAAACGCAGAGCGACGATAATCTAGGGGGGATGTGTTTCCCAATTTGTACCCAATTAAGTAATTCGGCATTCGGTGTCGTCAATTAACATAATAAATGGTGAACAAATGCGAAGCACCGGCCATTTCATCAAACATCTTTACCTAAATGTCGATCAAAGAATATTGGATTTGATGAAAAATGAGAATGCGCCTTTTAAAAACCTAAAGTATTGGGGCGGTAAGATGGGTTGGGTGAGGACTAGCAGCCTGTGTTCGAAGGTGAGATCCTTTGAGGCCAAACCTTTAGGGGACGCTTTCGCAATAAAAGCACTCCGATTTGCAAAACCACAATCTCTAATGAGCTATTGAAACGTTGGGGGGAACACACAGAGAAGACAAGCTGTGACCATAATGCCAATTAATTGGTTTGCTCCCACACAGCAGTTTTTTTTTTATTTCCATTTCACTATCAGATACGGTTGAAAGGGAATAATACATCAAATATGTAAAACATTATAGTAGATACATTTAATTATTGCTGTACTATACAGTCTCAATCTTGGTTGAAAATCCTTCTGGAATGGTTTTGCGGTTCAATATGTATGCATATATATTATACACACACAATCACTTTCTTTGTCATTGGTACCTTGTACAATTGGATGTCCTCAGGATGAGTGGTGTCTTATCTCATCCCTAATAAGCTCTCTCTAACAATATGCCTATGCTATTCACGAGCCACCTGTTGCTGCATTCGATTGTCAATTCATATACGCAAAAGACAGAGCGGGAGAGAGATTAATCCTTAACCATGAAAGTATGATTTATTACAAACTAATTACTGTCTCATTATATGGCTCGATTGCCGTTCCCTTGCGTTGTTGTTTGTGTCATCACGGGCATGGTTGATGTTGTTCATGAAACCCGATTTAAGAGCTTACTGGCTCACAGGGTAATTCAAAATAAACTGAACTGGGCAGCTTTAACTGGTTATTGTTGAGATGTCAAGCTTCCCAATAAATTAATTGATTCAAATCTCTTCCTTTCCATAATCGTCATCATCAGCAGCCACGTTCAGTTCACTGCCAAATGAAATCCTCCCCAAGCCACCGCCAGCCCACGCTTTATGGAGTGAATATTTACAGAAACAGATGCACATTGATGACCAAATGTGTTTTACACACCAGAGCTTTCGAGACGTGTGGTTGGCAGATAATGCAGATTTGTGAGACTCCCAGACTCGCTGGGCCGGTGAGATGGCCACGAGAAATGTCAGTACATGAAGTGTGTTTGTGTACCCATCTGTGCGGAATATTTGTTTTATCGTCGTATGCACCCGCTTTCTCTCGAGCTCTCTGATTTCTCTCCCACAATGCAAAGCACTCCTTGAAAATGAAATTTCAGTCCCGTGGGGGGGGAGGAGGGAGGAGACGCAGAGGCGTGGCGGTTTAGCGCACACCGCGTTATGAACCCGGAAACCCGGCTTTGATTCTCAGCTACTACAGCTTAGCGCGTTAGCGACGAGTGAAATCTAAACTGGTCCTGGACCACGCTGCCGCCTTAGCCGACGGCGCTCACCAGCGTGGTGACACGGCAATCACCAGCGTGGCGACACAGCGCCGGGGACGCTGCGTGGGGAAGGCCCTGGATTGATTGAAAGGCTGAAATAAATACACCGTTGTTCGATCCGCGCGTTCGATGCAGTCGTCGAAACGCGCAATTGAACGCCGAGGCGTTTGGTGGAGCTGGAACTGTTCGACGCCGCGGAGTGAACATGCGGAATGAGCACGTTCTATTTACGTGACAACCCTTATTAGTTGGCTGTGTCGGGTAGTGGCGGGTTTTAACGACACATTTAGATATTTACGCAATCTGACCCCCCTCCTAAAAATTCCTCTATTGTGGATGATATTGGTCGCGAAAGCTTCCGTGTTCAAATGAGTTAACCGTAAAAAACGCGTGTGTGTCTGTGTGTTTGTGTAACTGCAGACAGCTGGGCTTAGACTTGGTGCCAAGAAGAGATTTTGATCTTGTGGATCCAGACCAAATCAGTGTTACTGACCTCTACAAACTGGTAAGCTCACCGCCTGCCGACCACAAGACTCACATCGTCGTTGACACTTATTAATCCTGTTCATTGTCTCTCTCCGACGCGATTTCGGGTTGCACCGCGTGTTCATGCACGGTGTCTGACGCTTCGCTCCACATGGCTCGGAACTGAATTCACATCAGGGGGACGCACATGAGAGAGCAAATACTGCACAATCACTTGAGTTTGTGTTAAACAGGAACCCATATATCACGTGGGACAATTTTGCCAATAACAATGGGTAATCCAGCAGCATTTGTTAGTTGACAAGCCTCTCTGCTGGTGCAACCCAGAAGGTCGAAACCAGTTCAGAGTTTCGCGAACTTAAACAAGATGACGCTCGATATTATTGGGTCTTTCTTGACTTAAAGCTTTTGTGACTGCAGGAATTAACACAGTACTTAAAATTCGTGATCTGATCCCATCTGTGAAGGATAGGATATCTGACATGCAATACCCTGGCGTCTACAAACTACAAACTAACTAACTAAGCTGTGTCTGCGGCAGTAGTTACATTGGGGAAACTAAGCGACATGTCTCGGACCATGTTCGTGAGCAAAAGGCAGATTTGAAACACGGTAGGACCAATACTTCTGCCGTGGCTGATCATTATGTTAATGCGGCTGGCTCACACGAAATTGATTTCCCTAAGACGAAGGTACTTTGTAAGCCCCCTGGCTATCAACAAAGATTTGTTCATGATGCCATCCATATATACAGACAGACACAATTTCAACCGAGAGGATGGGTACGAACTCAGCAATCATTGGAAGGACGTCATCAAACAGTTTAAGTCATAACTGGCTGTGATGTTCCCATCCTGCCACCTTCCGATGTTAGTTTTTACGTGTTTTTTCCCCGTGACTTCGGCTCTCCGATATTACATTAGCAGGTTAAATGCCTCACACCAACACAGCCACCCCCGCGTGCCGACCTCGACGCGGGTCGGCGGCTCTGCGATCTTACATTGACATGCTAATATCTTACATTGACATGCTAATCTCTTACATTGACATCACTAGCCCCGCCCACTTCGTTTATGACCCTTGGGCTACACCCATTTTAAACCTTTAAAAACAGCCTGCCTCAGCAGCTTTCCCCCTCTTTGTGCCTCCTGATGACGATCACTTGTGTTGTGATCGAAACGTCGTCGGTTTTTGTTTATTTTAGTTTTATTAATTTGAACCTATCTACGTGACTTTACTGAAAGACCGAAATAATATTATCGGGTCTTCTTCGTCGTGTCTCCCGTCCAGCCTGTGCGATGGTCTTTTTCCCCAATATTCCGCACAGGCCACCTCTTTGGGTGTTGGCATTTCGCCAAAAATCTTGAGTAGCAATTGCGGTGCTGCAGGGCGTCTCAGGAGATGATCCGTGGTTGACTTCACCTGACTGGCACACGCCGGTCAGGTGTTGTGTACAAGCCTCACCCCCCCCCCGCCCCCCCCCCCCCCCGCACCATGATTTAATGAGAGAGTTGCGTCTGTCGAAAGCCGCTCTCTTCAATCTGTTTAGGCTCAGCCATTGTGAGCCGTTTGGAATTGGAGCCAGATGCGAGCTCCTCACTGGCGGGGGGGGGGGCAGGGGGGGGGGCGGTGATTCATCACCGGCTGCATTCAAAAGGCTGATGGATTTGAACGCAATTTTATCAACATGGGGAGAGACATGACGGCGATCTGCACATGTTGTGTGTGTTTGGCACGCACCGTGTTGTTGTGTATCAGTGTCGGTGTAGGATTCTCACTTAAGTCACGACGTCAAAACTCGGTATTCCCTAACAGATGGATTTAAAAAGTACACCACACAAATGTCAACCTGGGCTGGTGTATAACATGTAACATCGACTTCAATGTGACAATGCCATCAATTTGTCACATGGTCCTAATGGATGGAATGTTCTAAAGTAATAGGACACGTCACATTCATATCTCAATTATGAGTTAAACAAAATGTTTTGTCAACAGTGAAAGTGCACATGTGACTAAAATGCTTGAAAGCACATATATCAACGTGTGTTTGTGTATCAGTTGTATTATCCCACTATCTATACACCGTGCTCAACCTCTTGTATGGCACTTTGAAGAGCAACTGACACATTATTATAGCTCATTGTTGAGTTTGGAAGTCAATTTGATGGTGCCACGTGTCACTTGATGCACTGCGCCCTGACTGCTGTGTGAGCACGCAATGCATCAGCGGTTGATGACGTGATGAGCAGATCGCACTCTTAGCGCGTGTCGCAGGCCTTCGCCACCGATATTATGATTCATGATGGATTCATTTCGGCCAGATCGCGTAACTTAAATGTGTTTTGTAAATCTTCCTCCACCCGACGCAGGCAATTCATACATTTGTCACGTGATGAACGCACGCGACGATTTATTACAACTTGAGCAGCACGACCGGTGTTGGATAGCGACCCGTGCACATTTAAATGGGAGATTGCGTTTCGCTGGTGCTTACAACCAGCCTCATCAAGCAGTTTGCCAGAATTGTGAAAATGTTCTCCAGTTCTGGGCCTTAAATAGGGGGTGTGACCTTCATCAATGGGAGCAGCAGGGAGTGGAAGGAAGTGATACTTGGAGGGAAATACATTCACATGGAGTACGTGATTTTATCTTATAAAAGAGAATAACCGTCTCGTACAACTCGTGAGCTATGACTTAACCGTTTTAAGCACGCGAACACCATATTCCTCCACATTACCATAGCTTATATATACCAAGGGTTTACGACGCACGATTTATTTCCGCAATCTGAGCCCCAATTTTTTTTTTTAAGATCCCACTTTGCCACTTTAACATAACGAACCTAGGTCTTAGCCGCACGTGATTAAAGCCCATTCTAAAGTGCAAGCGAGTTTAATGGTCTCGGTCTGGCTACCGACATATTGCATTTGAGTGATATCTTGCCGAACCTGGTTGATTCGCGTGCGGCGATTAATCCTGGCGGGGAAACTTACAAAGGGCGTGCACCTGGCGTGGACATGGAGGCCTCCTTTTAGTGACTTCGCAAAAAAAACAATTTTGTGACATCACCTGCCAGGGATTTATCGCGTGCCGGCGACGGGGCCCGTGCGCGCGAAGGTGCCCAACGGCGCCTCTTGTGACCCCTGGTGGTTGACCACCGGCAGTCAGCCGGTAGCATGTTGAGGGCGTGAGTGGGAGTCGTGGGGGGAGGGGGGTTCAGGGGAGCTCGGGAGGAGTCACCGTCGAGTCGTTTTCCACGTCGGGCTCGTTTAGCGCTGCGACGCACGAGCCGTGCGTTTCGTCTGCGCCGTCGGTCTGACTCGCTCGTGGACTTTCTCGCCAACCTCCTCTCTGACACGGGGTGATGCACCGCTCGCTGCGAGAGTTCCTCGTAGGAGGCGCGTTCCTCTTCGGCTCATGACAATACCACGTGTATGGGGGGAGGTGGTGGGGGGGGGATGCCGGGGGGGGGGGGCGCCATTTTTTTGCTTTGTTAAAAATGCCGTGCGGCTAAAGAGGCCCTTTTAACTAACGTCCAAGAGAGTTCTAAGACGTCATCTTCGAGGCTGTCGGGTGAGACTGTGGCTCCTCCGGCGGTGTGGGTTGTGCAGTGGTCGCAAGCGGGCTGCACCGCGAACCTGATGACACCGAGTTCCACTCCCTCGGCTCGCGACAAACAAACAAAATATCCGAACCAACCCCGGGGCTCCCTCCTTAGATCGACTCGGACTTCAAACGAGCACCCGGGCCTGGTGCGGTGTGAAAGCATCGGTGTTGGGGAGACAAAGGTGGCCGGGGCGTGGTGCTGGACACACGCTGCCCTCGCCCGTCGTATGCCTTGCTGGCATTCGTAGGCGTTCGCCTGTTCGGGCTATGCGGGGTGGAGGATACCCTTTGGTTATTTCGGTATTTCTAACTAACAGTACTTCTAACCACGTGACCTCACCGAACGAACCAAAGGGTATGGATTCCTGCAGTCCGAATGCTCCAAATCAGGGGTGGGGGGATCTTTATCTTTTGCGTGTGAGCCTCTCGCGTCCCGACACGAGGTCCGTGCGCCCGCTGACCTCGTTCGTCGTCTTTCGCCCCCTCCCTCTCTCTTCTCCGCGCGTCGCCAAAGAGATAACAGTTGGGCAATGGACAATGACCTTCCTTGTCTCTCGTTGCCAGGGGCAGCACGAAATAAGCCCGCGATGGGGGGCTGGCTGGCTGGGTGGGTGGGTGGGGGGCCGGGGAACAAAGTTGTCCCTTAAAAAAACATTGTTTAATCCGTCGATTGAGCACGGAGAAATTAAAACGGCGGAACCGATGCCAAAGGATTGCGAGAATGCTTGCGCCTGAAGCCGAGTGTGGCGGGAATAGTAATTATTGCCGGAAAATCGAGCGTGGTGGAGCGACGGGGTTTGTTGCATGTTTCCGCGTCGGTCGCCCGTCGCGTACTCAATCGGCGTTGAGCCGGGATGCGCAATGCCGCGTGGTCGAAGCTCTGTGTGTGCGTCTGGCCAAGCGAAACTCGCCTGTCTTTAGGATTACATTAATCTTGCCTCGCGATGTATTCTGCATGATTCAATTAAATAAGTAATGTCAACATTATTTTTTAACGTTATGTCCCGGATTATCGCAGTGTTACTTCCTACATTTTTAATTCATATTTTTAAATAAAATACTTCATCATCAGCCATGGTGAATCCACTGCTGGATGAAAGATCCCTTCCCCGCCATGCCACCACCATCGCTCATCCAGATTTTATGTTTTGAATGCATTGGTCATCGTGGGGGTGATGGGGGGGGGCTGACCATACTTCACCATGCCGGTCAGTGTAAGTCTGGTAAAGGTGAACACATTGTCTCACCATTCGACAAGCGCCTGGCTGGTGGGGGTGCCTCTGTGCAGTGGTGCAGGCACTCAGAAGGTCGCCAAGGCTCTTGAACCTATCAGTGCTCCATTGAGGAAGATAATGTGTCGAGAATACTTGGTTTAAATTAAAAACCGTGCATTTGAAATCTACAGCGGTT